TATACGTCACCGAGAAAGACGATCATCCCAACATCGACGATGGGGGGGAGGCCACTTGGCACACAGCAAGACTTCAAACGGCGAAGCGAGGAGAGGCCTTCAGCCAGTTGCCTCTGCACCACGGCCCGCACTCACACGGGCAAAGGCCTGGGTGGGGTTATTTCAGCCGACCGCAGGCGCAGAACCCACGGGATGCCGCGGGTACCAAAGCGCAGTGTAGTGCCCCTCGAACCCAGGAGGTGGCACAATCCGTGGCCAAAGCCATCCACTGTATGCAGGGACAGATGGAGCGACGCCTTCAGCCAGTCGGCCCGGTCCTCCGCGGGCAGGCAACGCGGCCAAAACTGCGGGTGGGATTATCTCAGCCGACCGCACGGGCTACAAGCCCACGAGTCTGTGGGGGTCTAACTCAGTGATGATCACTCCCAACGGCGACGAAGGGGGGAAGCCACTTAGCACACAGCTGGACTTCAAGTGGTGGAGCACGAGGAGGGGCCGTGCCAGCGTCCTCTGCACCACGGCCCGCACTCAGCGCGGGCAAAGTACCTAGGTGGAAGCAGGATAGATGGGGAAACGCCTTCAGCGAGTCGACCAGGTCCTCCTCGGGCCGGCAACGCGACCAAAACCATGGGTGGGATTATTTCAGCCGACCGCACGGGCTACGAGCCTTCGGGGGCCGTGGGTGTCTAGCGCAGCGTGGGGGGTGTACCTCACTCCAGGAGGTAGCACAGGAACCTAGGCCGCGGCCTGCCACTGCGGCGAAACGAACCCCTATCACTGGGTCGGCCGTCAGGAACGTGGCCGCCCAGTGGGAATCCTTCGGCTCTGGGGCCAGCCCCGACTGACACTGCCTGCGTGAGGCGGGACCCGTGATAGCCGCGCCTCTCAGGCACTGTGCTGCGGCGACGAGGAAATGGGGGGTAGCAGCCGATGGCCGCTGGACTTGCGCACAGCTGTGGCGACGAGAAAAAGGGGGCAACGGCCGATAGCCGCAGGACTTGTAAGCACCAGGAGGGAGAGGAGGGCAGCCGATAGCCGCAGGACGTTTGACAGTAGCGGTGACGCCAAAGGAGGAGGACGCGCCACACCTCCGGGGGGTATCCGCGGTGTACGGGCGCGGCCAGCCTTTCATGAAAGGAGCGCCCCTTGTCCAAGACAGCCCTGGGCCGCGCGCCTTGGGGGCCCTGGGCTGTGTCCGCCCTTCTGTGGGCAGGGAACTCTTGTCAGGCCTGTCGCCGCGTTACCAGCGGTCGAGCTCCCTTCCTCGCTGTCGCTTGTCGGCGTATTGCGCGTCACCTTTCGGGGCGGTCCTTTTTTCCCTGGTACCCCAATCACCGCCTCTCCATGAACTCTCCTGGCGGCCCCACCCTTCCCAGGGCGGCCTTGGGTGCCATGGGGCTCCAGAGCTGGATGCTCCCGACCGGGTGGACTCCCTGTAGTCGGTATACACCGGCGGGGCAGCTGCGTCCGCTCTGGGTTTGCTCCGCAGGTGCCGGTGGTCAGCTCCACTGTGTGTGCGATAGGAAGAGGCCTGCGCGTAGCCGATGGTCCTGTTGGGTGGGGCCGGAGGAGTGGGTACGGAACTGCTGCTGGCAGCCCAAGGGTATGGGCGGCCATCGCTATATTGTCCCTTGGGTGTGCGTGTTCTTGCGCTGCGCTGTAGCAGGCCGCGATACTTCTCAGTGACTTTTGGCCACTCCACTCGGAGCTGGCTGTTTCCCATGCCCGGAGAAATTCTCGGCAAAGCTGAAGTGAGTTCTCCTTGGGGTCCGAATGGATGCAGACCCAAGGCAGACCTTGCCAGCTGCCTGCCCTGCGGACCCACGCCGTCCATGCCCCGTTGAATGCGCCTCCGAGCGTCTTCTGCAGTCTGATGACCTTGTCTTGGGCCGGCTCGTCTCGCTGAATGTCGGCCTCGTAGATAGACTTCATGTACATGGGAAGCCCGCCCAAGGGGTCGTCTGGGTTCGGAGGTGGGAATGGATCTGCCTGTGGGCCGGGCCGTCTGTCAGGGCTGCTGTCCTGCCGGGGGCTAGGCGGCAGACGGGTCTCGCGCTCAGACGCGGTGTGTTCGGGAATCGACTCCTGACGGCAGCCTGGTTTGCTCCCCGTTCCTCTTAAGTCCCTGCCGTCACGGATCTTTTCCATGTCCTCCCGGGAGCGGGCCGTAGCGTACGGCGTCCAGGTTGCCGCCTCCTCCTTTGGTGGGGGGTCTGTGCTGGTGGGCATACGCGAAGCGTCAGGATTTACAATATCCGATGGACACAATTGCAGAAGCAGGCGAAGAAGTGGGAATTGAGCTCAATTGGGAAATGGTTCAATTGATACAAACCGACTGCGATACCCACCTTTAGAACACGCGGGGTAATATCATACCGGCTACCGCGCACGACATTTTGGTTGTGGCTACGATATGTCTTAGGTTCAGCTCAGGCATCATTTCGGCAAACAATGCTGGGCAGCCTGGGGTACACCGAACACAGTGCACAAGATACTCGAAGGGCTCGCCCTTCAGAGACATAAAAACATATAATTGTACGCAGGCTATGAGTACAACTGCAATTAGGTACTGCGTGAAAACATGCGGTCCAAACACGTTGTGTTCGACATGATCTAGAACACGTGTTCGACCGCGCGCACACCGAACAGTGCCCCTCGCAATATCATGTGCTGTTCGCTGCGCAATATGTGTGGTACAGTCTATGTGGTGCAATATGCATTGTGCAATCATTATTGTACCATCAGCGTTGTGCACTCTGGTGTGTTCAATCGACGTTATGCAATCTATGTTGTGCAAACTGTGGTGTGCAATATATGTTGTGCACTTTGTGTGGTGCAACCATTGCGGTGCAATCTCGACAACGGCGGCGGCGGCAACGACGACGACGAATCCGAAGACCTTGGGGTTTTTGACGACGTCGACGTAGGCGGCGAAGACGACCACGTCGACGACGACGACGCCGACCACGACGACGACGACGACGACGACGACGACCATGCCGACGATTTTGGCGACGCCGATGACCTCGACGGCTTTCTTAACGGCTAACCTGACTACAACATCGACGTCGACGACGACAACGACGGCGACGACGACGACGGCCACGAACAACAGAGGCTGCCAGGGGCAGCATCGTCAACGACGAGACGGCGACCACGACGGAGACGACGATCACGAGGACGACAACAACGATAAAAGCGACGTAACGACGACGGCGGCAGCGGCGACGACAACGACGACGCAACGACGACGAGACCACGACGACGACGACAATGACGTCGGCGGTGACGGCGGCGGCAGCGACGACGACGACAACAACGACGCCGCAACGACGACGTTGACCACGACAGCGACAACGATGACAACGACGACGACGACAAGGACGACGCAACGACGACGACGACCACGACAGCGACAACGATGACGACGACGACGACAACGACAACGGCGGCGGCGGCGGAAGACGGCGACGACAACGGCGACGACGACGACGGCCACGAACACCAGAGGCCTACAGAGGCAGCGACATCAACGACGAGACAACGACCCTGACAAAGACGACGACGACGATGACGACGACGGCGGCGACGGTGGCGGCGACGACAACGACGACGACGACAACGACGACGAGAACCACGCTGACAACAACGACGGCGGCGGCGGCAACGAGGACGAGGATGCGGACATGTATATATATATATATATATATATATCTATAAAAGAAAAAAAAAAAAACGACCACATCGGGGCGCAGTTTAAAAGGGGTCAGCTTGCTGGCAGCTTGGGCTGGAAGAAGGGCACTATGGTGTACAAGCCAATAGCTGGTCGAACCCGTGGCTAGCAGGGGCGCTAAAACTCGTGAGGCGTGTGCACACACGGGGCTCGAGCGGCGAGCAGAGCGTGAGTGCCAGGCATGTGATGGCTTGTAGTCCGAAGAAGCGGGCTGCCTCTTCGTCGGCATCCTCATCGTTCATCGGCTGATCCGACTGAGCAGACGGGAAGTCGTCCGCTGGCGGTAGGGAGGCCGCCTCGTCCCTACCCGAGACAAATGGCGGTAGGGAGGCCGCCTCGTCCCTACCGCGCGAGAAGAGGGGAGGAGAGCTGGAACGTACAACGAGGACGAGGACGAGGCCGAGGACGAGGACGACGACGTTGACGACGACGACGACGAAAACAGCGCCGACGGCGAGGACGACAACGCTGACGACTGCGACGGCGGAAGTGGCGGCGGCGACGGCGACGACGAGGACGAGCACGAGCACGAAACGAGGACGAGGACGAGGGCGAGGAGGACGACGACGACAGCGATGACAACTACGGCGGCTGTGGCTGCCGCGGTGACGACGACAATGACGACGCAACACCAGCGGCGGCGGCGTAACGACGACGACGACGACGAATCCGGCGACCTTGAGGTCGTTGACGACGTCGACGAAGGCGGCGAAGACGACCGCACCGACGACGATGACGACGACGACCATCTCGACGACCTGGACGACGCCGACGACCTCGACGGCGATCTCAGCGGCGAAGTTGAATAATCTCGAATGATCTCGACTACGACCTCGAAGACGACGAGGACGACCTCGATGACGACCGCGACGACGACGGCGGCGACCACGAATACAGGAGGCTTCCACGGGTCACCAGAAACATGCCTGCAGAGACCTCCCGAGGCCTCCAGGGAAAACGACTAGGCCAAATGATACAAATGATACGGAAACGACGACGAGTACGACGACGACGACGGCGAGCGGCGCCGACGACGCGACGACGACGACGACGACGACGACCGCGACGACGACGACGACGCAACAACAACGACGACGACGACGACGACTGCGGCGGCGGCGGCGACGACGACGAAGACGACGACGAAGACGACGACGACAACGACGACGACGACGACGACGACGACGACGACGACGACGACTGCGGCAGAGGCGGCGACGACGGCGAGCGGCGCCGGCAGCCCGCCAACGACCGGCGGGGGCGGCGCCTCGGGAGCGCACGACCGGCTGCCCACCGCCGGGGACCTGCGCCCGCGGGGAACCCCCGCGGTGCGGAGCAGGGGGCCTGCCTCCTTTTTGGGGGCATGATCGGGCGCAGTGCCTCTCTGGCAGCATGATCGGATGACGACGACGACCGCCACCACGACGACGACGACGACGACGACGATGACGACGGACAGCGGCGACGGCGGCAGCCGCCAACGGAGCGGCGACGGTGGCGGCGGCGGCGGCGACGGCGACGGCGACGGCGACGGCGACGGCGGCGGCGGCGGCGGCGACGACGACGACGACGACGACGACGACGACGACGACGACGACGACGACGACAACGACAACGATCACGACCACGACCACGACGACGACGACAACGGCGACGACGACGACGCAACGACGACGCAACGATGACGACGCCACCGACGCCGCCGCCGACGACGACGACGGCGACGACGGCGAGCGGCGAACACATCCAAATCCACGCCCTCGGCGTGGCACCTGCCGTGTGTCAAACTACAAACATGCTGGTCCGATATTTTTGTTTCATCGGAGGGGGGCAGTTGTTGAGCTTGCGCCCGATTCCTTGAGCACTGCACTGGCGGGGCCAAGAAGACACTGATAGCCACCACTACGACGACGAGAGCGACAAGGGGAACAGAGGAGGATGTGGAGGAAGAGGAAAAACAGAAAGACGATAGCAATGACGACGTCCAGGGGGCGCATGGAAAATCGGGGGGGTGACGGGGAGGCGAGGGGGGGGAGGACGAGGCAAAAGAGGACGTCAACAAAAAAAAGAGAGAGAAGAATGCTGACTGGGAGAAAAGGGTCCTGGAGGAAACGGGTCCTGGACCCTGGGGTCTTCCCCCACGATGAGCTTTTCAGCCCGAACTGTTTCCTGACAGTCCCGGGGCCCGTGGAAGGCCCCGAAAGCCCGAAAACGGCGGATCATGTCAGGACCCGTTTCCTTCGGGACCCGTTTCGCCCCGCCGACGCCGTCGACACGACCCCCTTCCGCGCGGCGCCTGGCCGGCGGAGGCGGCGGCGGCGGCGGCGGGGGCTGCGCCGACTCCCCCATGTCCGCCAGGGGCGGCGGGCCAGGGGCGCGGCCAGGGCCTGCCGTCGGCGGGGGCGGGGAAGGAACGGGCTGGAACGCTGGCAGATGAGAAGGGCCCAGACACCGTCGCGTCACGAAATTCGGCCGACGGCTGGACCCCGCGCGAGGCTAGATTTCGTATGCCCCTCGCTGGTTCCTCTTCGCCCTGGCGGAAACCCTCCCCCCGCCCTGTCGCGGCTCCTCCTCCTCCTCCCCCCTCCTCCTCCTCCTCCTCCTCCTCCTCCTCCTCCTCCTCCTCCTCCTCCTCCTCCTCCTCCTCCTCCTCCTCCTCCTGTTCCCAATCCTCCCCGTTTTCATCCTCCGCCCACCCGTCCTTCTCGCCAACCTCGCCCCATCGCTGGGTCGCGGGAGCAAGCCGTTGGGGCATCCGCGCAGGTCTCGTGCTAGCCGCGGCCGCGCTCAAGCGGAGGGCAGCAAGAAACCCAGCTTTGCCGCGAGCTGCTCCCTTCAGCCCTGGAGGTCCCCGCTCTCTGATCAAACTCTCCGAGCGCCTTCCGCAGGGGCGCTGGTGGCCCGCGCACCAGGAACTCTCGCGCGGGCGGCCGCGGGATCAGCATGGTCCGCACGCGCGCGGCGCGGGAAACGTGACGCAGAAATGCAGCCACCACTCCTCGCCCGACATGCCCGCGCAACCAAAGTCCCCATCCCTGGCGCAGTCGACGGCGACGCCCTTGCGCAGCGTCTGACTCTTCCAAGGCGGGACGGTCAGGCAGGACGCGCGCGCCAGGGCGAACCCCAAGCGGCGCCAGCGCGCGGCCCCGAGATCTGCCGCGTGAGCTTCGCTGGGCCTGAACACGAGCAAGCCCCTCGCCCGCCCTGAAGAGGTTGGCGGTGACCCGCTCGCATTGCAAACATGAAGTGCGGGCCCTAAGGGAGGGGGGCCCCACATGAGACTTCCTCGCAATTCACTCACTCACAAACGAGGCCCGTGCCCGAGGCACCCCCGCGATTTGCGCCCTCGGGGCGCTCGGATGTCTTGCCGGGCAAAGTTCGCCGAGGACCCGCCCAGACTTCCAGCGAGAAGCGCAGGCCTGTAGGGGCCCCCGCCTGAGACTTCCGCGCAACTCACCCACGGACGAAGCAGCCGCTGGAGACTTCATCACGCGCCCCCACGCGCCCCCCCGGCGCGCTCAAGTGCTATGCCCGTTGCATGTTCTCGAGGGCCCGCCCGGATTACCAACGTGAACTGCGGGTCCCAAAGGACGGAGGCCCCCGCCTCAAACCCCCTCGCAACTCACGCGCAAACGAGGCCCCCGCTGGGGACATCCTCACGATTAGCCCCACGCGGGGTGCTCAAGTGGCATGCCTGGTAGATGGCCCCGATGACCCGCTCGGTTTAAAACGCGACGCGCAGGCCCCTCGGGGAGGGAGGGCCCGCCCGAGACGTCCCCGCATTTCACTTACAAACGCGGCCCCCGCTGGAGACAGCCTCACAGTTTGCCCGCTCGGGGCGCTCCGAAGTGCCGTGCCTGGTGGATGATTCCAGCGACCCGCTCGCAGCGCCAACGCGAAGTGCGGGCCCCGCAGAGAGGGGGGCCCCGCGCGAGGCCTCCATCGAGGTCAGCGCGCGAGTGCGCGAGTGCGCGAGTGCGAGCGGGCGCACGATGATGGCCCGCTCGCGATGGCGACGACGCGGCGCGCGCGCGGGCAGGCGCGCTCCCGCGCGGGGCGCTCCCGCGCGGGGAACGACGACGATGACGAGGCGGAGGAGGAGGAGATCGGGCTCCGCCAAGGGGGGCCGAGCTCCGGTGCAGGAGCAGCTCTCGGACAGCACGATTTGCGCCTGGCGACTGCGCGAGCACCGGCCCTCGTCGGGGCTTCCGCCCTGGCGGACATACTATTCGCAAGAGCACTCGCCCTTCCGGCGTTGTACGTACTGGGAAACACATCACGCAGAATGACGGCACCGTGACAGGCTCTACCATCGGGCATTCGGGGTCTCAGTAGAATGAGACCCACAGCGTTCCACTCGGCAAACTCGGGCAGCACCGACGGATAATAGAAGGGAGGAGCGGCAGCAACACAAGGCACTGACAAAAAGTGCATGACATGGTCGGAATGATATCGAGGACAAAACCCAATAAGGGCTATAGGGCTAGGGGGCTATAGGGCTATAGGGCTATTGAGCTATATAGGGCTATAGAGCTGTAGGGCTATAGAGTTGTAGGGCTATAGGGCTATTGGGCTATTGGGCTGTAGGGCACCCCCGGGCACCCGCAGGCACCCCCGGGCACGCCCGGGCACACGGGCACCTGGGCACCCGGGCACCCGGGCACCCCCGGGCACCCGGGCACCCAGGCGTGCGGCGAAAGTCGGCGGCAAACCTAACCTAACCTAATGAATCCGCTATGACCCCTACAGAGGCAAGCTCTGATTGGGGAATCATGGGCCCCACAGCCCACAAGACAGCATCTATCGCCAAGACGAAATCAAGCGCTAATTGGCCACGCACTCGACGTGCATTTTAGCAGAGAGGACGCGAGACATGGGACCTGATTGGCAGCGGCAAAGAAACTGGCTCGACACAGAATCGCCATGGCTCTCAAAGGCCTCACTCCAAAATGTCCGGACCCTCGGGAATGGCAATTAGTACGCTGAGGGCCGCTCAGATTCCTCGGCGATAATCAGGCCCACCTTCCCCAGGACATCGCGCGCATACTCGTCAGCGCGATGGCGGATCTGAGCAACGGTGCGCCAATTCTCTATCAAAGACCAGCAACTTGAACTTCCCGGCCACTCTCGGCGCCGAGTCACTGCCAGCCGCTCGACGTCGACGCGCTCGAGACAGGGGGGGGGGGGAGGGCGTTTCGAAAGCGCGGCGGTCGAAAGCTTCGATCTCAAAGGCAATCCGAAAGGAGGGAGCAGGAGGAGGAGGAGGCGGCGGAAAGGGAGAAGGAGGCACCGAAAACACGATCCGCGGCCAGGAAGCTCCCTGGCTCCACCAGGGAGCCAGCCTCCAGGGAGTCCTGGGCCTGGGCCTGGGCCCCCGGGCCAACCTCTGGAGGGGCCAGCTCGGCCGACGCCGGCCAACGCTGGGCCTGGCGGGCGGCGCCTGCAGCGCGCGAGGTGGCCCCGATGGGCCAGGACGCGGCGCGCGTGGACATTCTGGACCAAGCCTGGCCCGAGAACTCTGGCGCGCCCGATTCTGGAGAGGAGCTTAATCCGCGCCGGGGCCCAGGAAGCAGCGCGCCCAGGAGGCCCAGGCAGAATGCCAGGGTGTTCCCCGCGAGTCCCGACCTGGGAGGATGCGGCGACGATGCCCCGGCTCGAACTTGCGTCCGATCGCACCCGCGAGCGCGAACGACGACGCACCTCTTCGAATTCGGGAGGCGAGCCAGGACGGCAGAGCTACGAATTGTAAGACGCATCAGAGGTGACAACGACTGCCGCGCATCGCCCATTGCCACGCCAACATCGCCAGCAAACGCAAGGAGCGGGAGCCCGCCTCAGGATTTTGTCGAGGTTCCGAAGAGAGGGGCCGAAGGCCAGGACAAATGAGGCCCCCGAGAAGCAGGCACCTTCGATGACTCCCCGGGTGATCGGATATCCTGGAACTCTCATCCCACCAAACAATGTCGGAGTAGACGTCAGAGCATAGCTGCTTGACTGCGCGCAGAATCAATGCTGGGGTCCTCACCCGTCTCAGTACGCGGTGAATCCATGGGCGAGACAGCGATGGGAACGCCGCCTGTGCATCCAACAAGAAGGGCCAGCAAACGGGCAATCGAGATAAAAAGCGGAACCCAGGAACTTCGACTTCATGCTGGTAATCTCTTCCACTACATGTCTTCCTGTCACAATGCCTTCCGCATCGGGCCCGTGGACAAAACCGCTTGCAGTCCCATTGGGGCGCAGATAGAGCTCGCAGTCAACTTGCTGTCGGCGTCACTTAGCATGACGGGCCTCACCTGTCCAGAAGGTCGCACAATCGACTGAGTGCCACGAGGATGGCGGTCCTCCAGGACAACAAAAAATGCGCCCTCGATGGAAACCAGGCTGACTACCTACCAGACCAACCCCACCCAACCCGAAGATCCGAATTTCGGGTTGGGGGGTAAGGGTTCCACATGTGTTGTTTCTATGTTTCCCGACCCCCCCATTAGAAATCGAAGGTAAATCTGAGCCTTCGGGTTGGGTTGGGGTGGTCTGGTGGGTGGAAACCAGGCGGGGGGGCCAAGCCTGCACGGAAAGAAGCGCAAACGCCAAATCCGAACGCGGGGAACGGTTTCCCCGGCGCGTTTCCCGCAGGAATGCAGGATATGCCGCCGAGCCCACAGGCGCAGCCCCCCGACGGGAGCCGACGATGCCCCCGAAGGTCCCGGAGTCGATGTTCAATTCCATACAAGAAGCCACGCCTTGAATTTCGTCGGGGCGCTCCCCCAAGATCCTTTCGCGCCCAGGGAGCCGCCGAAAGCTCGCGAGCGAACCGCGCCCACATGATCCGCCAGCGCATGAGCACCGTCAGCAAGGGACACAAGGGGGGGAAGAGCCGCCAGGCACAGAGTGCGCTAAGAGTGAGCCGACGCCGCTTCAGAGACCAGGACTTCGAACGCCGGCGACGTTGAGTTCGCCGCTGCTCGGCTTCTGGAAGATCGCGCCCAGCGGCAGAAGGCGGGTAATATCATTGAGAATCACAATGCTACTGGGCCCACTCGAATGAACGCGAACTTGTTCCTGACCCGAGCAAGGAGGGTTGTCGCCGCCCATGCAACTAGCCAGCTCAGGATCAGCCTCTGGACATGTCTGAATCCAGAAGCGCGAACTGCCCAGGGAGGTCCTCTAAGAGGAAGCCCCCAAGGCCCGCACCGCCTCGACGACAGCAGACGTTCTGCTTATCAGTCAGGGCCGCGAATTCAAACAGTCGATTTGTCAGCTCATCCTGGGCGGCAAAGAACTTGTCTTTCACGGTGCTCACCTGCTGGGCCGAGTCACCGTCGAGTCCTACTTCTTCAATGCGGGGATCCGACCGGGGCACCACATTCAGGATGCTCCAAGGTCCACCTGAAAATGCTCCGACCTTTCACGGACCCAACGGTCAGCAGAGGGAACGCGGGGCCGCGATCAGAAACCTCATTGGCATCGCGGGCGTCGGGGCGGTAGCATAAATGCTCCTATTCGTCTGACAGATGCGACGACATTCCTCTCATGGGTCCTGCGCGTGCAGCCTGGCTGGGCAGTGTCAAGGATGGACCGCAATGCCCGACGAAAGCAATGCTGCCCATGGTCGGCTGGTAGCTGTCGAGCGAGATGCTTCCGCAACAAAGCTAAAATCAACAGCAAGAAAGGAGAGGCAGTCGGCCCATGGCGGCATGGTCCGCGCAGCACACGGCGCTGAAATTTAGCCACCTGGAGAAAAAAAAGCAATACGGATTTTCCCGAAGGAGAGAGAGCCGGCAGCACCTCTGCGACTACTGCGGCCACCACTACGACTACGACGACGACTACGATTCCTACTCCTACTCCTACTCCTACTCCTACTACTACTACTACTACTACTACTACTACTACTCCTACTCCTACTCCTACTCCTACTCCTACTCCTACTACTACTACTACTACTACTACTACTACTACTACTACTACTACTACTACTACTACGACTACGACTACTACGACCACTACTACTACTACTACTACTACTACTACTACTACTACTACTACTACTACTACTACTACTACTACTAACTACTAACTACTACTACTACTACTACTACTACTACTACTACTACTACTACTACTACTACTACTACTACTACTACTACTACTACTACTACTACTACTGATACTACTCTTACAACTACGACGACGACTACTGCTACGACGACTACTATGACCTTTAGTACCACTACGACAACGACGACGATTACCACTATTAAGGCTACTACGGCTACTACAGCTACTTTTGATACTACTACAACTGCGACGGGAGCTCGGTCACGCCGGGGGCGGCGGCGGCGGCGGCGACGACGACGACGACGAGAGCCCCCCAGGCGCACGTCCGATGCCGGCAGAGATCGCAACGGAGCCCGCCATGGAATCCAGGCCCCCCACTCCGAAGGAGAGCGCCGACGGCCTCCGCGGGGGCAGCGGGCAGCAGCCATCCCCCTCCTCCTGCTTCTCCTACTCATCATTCTCCTCCGCTGTCTTCCTCCTCTTCCTCCTCATCCTCCTCCTCCTCTTCCTCCGCTGCCCCCTCCTCATCCTCCTTCTCCTCCTCCTCCTCCTCCTCCTCCTCCTCCTCCTACCCCTCCTCCCCCCCCCCCTCCTCTCCCCTCTCCTCTCTCCTTTCTCCTCCTCCTCCTCCTCAACCTCCTCCTCCTCCTCCTCCTCCCCCTCCCCCCCTATCTCCCCTCCCTCCTTTCTCCTCCCTCCTCCTCCACAAAACCTCCTCCTCCTCCTCTCCCCCCTCCGTTCCTCTTCCTCCTTCTCCTCCCTCCTCCTCCTCCTCCCCTCCTTCCTCCCTCCAACCTCCTCCTCCGCTCCCCTCCTCCCCCTTCTCCTCTCTCTCCTTCTCCCCTCCCTCCTCCTCCTCCTCCCCTCCTCCTCCTCCCCATCCCCCTTCTCCTCCTCTTTCTTCTCCTCCTCCTCCTCCTCCTCAACCTCCTCCTCCTCCTCCCACTCTCCTCCTCCCCTCTTCCTCCTTCTCCCCTCTCCTCCTCCTCCTCCTCCTTCTCCTCCTCCTCCTCCTCTCTCCTCCTCTCCTCCTCCTCCCCTGCCCCGCTCTCCTCTCTCCTTTCTCCTCCTCCCCCTCCCCCTTCTCCTCTCTCCTTTCTCCTTCCCCTCCTCCTCAACCTCCTCCTCCTCCTCCTCCTCTCCCTCCGATTCCTCCCCATTCTCCCCCTCCTTCAAGGATTCCTCCTCCTCCACCTGCTCCTCCCCCTCCCCCCACACGAACATCGCTTGTCGTCCACCGCCACAGGCCTCCTCACAAGGGGGGCCGGACGAGCTCTCCCCACTGCGCTGCCACACGCGGGGCCTCGGGGGCCACAGTGGGCGGCCAGGTCCCCCGCGGTACAGTCGGGGCCTTGACCTAAGGAACCCATTTTTTCCATAAGTTAACCTTCGATTTCCTGTCGAAGACATAAGGAAAGCCTGAGGCAAGCTGCGAAACACTTAAGGAACGCGGAGCCCCTCCCCTACGAAGAAGGTTCCTTCTTCAGCGCCCCGACTGTACCCCGCACACACACACACACACACACACACACACACACACGCACGCACGCACGCACGCACGCACGCACGCACGCACGCACGCACGCACGCACGCACGCACGCACGCACGCACGCGCACACACATACACACACACACACACACACACACACACAGAGAAGCGCCGGGCGAACACGCTCGAGAGGAGCAGGAGAGGCCGGGCCCAGAGAGCAGGCGGAGGGAGGTCCCGCCCCGCTCTGCACGTCCACGACGGAGCCCAGCCTTCGTGCCTTCCCCCATCCCGCCTGCCCATTCCGCGTCCTCGTCCCTTCCTCCTCCTCCTCCTCCTCCTACTCCTCCTGCTCCTCCTCCTCCTCCTCCTCCTCCTCCTCCTCCTCCTCCTCCTCCTCCTCCTCCTCCTCCTCTCCTCCTCCTCTCCTCCTCCTCCTCCTCCTTCTCCTCCTCCACATCCTCCTCCACCTCCCTCCTCCACATCTCCTCCACATGTCCTCCAAACTCCTCCTCCTCCTCCTCCTCCTCCTCCTCCTCCTCCTCCTCCTCCTCCTCCTCCTCCTTCTCCTCCTCCTCCTCCACATACCGCCTCCTGAGGCCGCGCCGCCGGGCCTCCTCCTCGTCCTCCCCCTCCTCCTCCTCCTCCCTCCTCCTTCTCCTCCTCCTCCTCCTCATCCTGCTCCTCATCCTCCTTCTCCTCCTCCTCCTCCACTCCTTTTCCTTGTAAAGTCGCCGGCCCAACGGGCCAGAGGCGTGCTAAGATCTCCAGTAACTACTTAACAATAGTTCTAGTTCGCGCGCGGGGCGGCCCCTGGGGGGGCCCCGGACGAAAAGTACTCCGGCCGATCCCCGGCTGACCCCCGGGCGATCCCCAGGGGGGAGGCTATTTTTCGCCACCCCTCACAAGGATCGTGGCCTCCGAGGGGGGGCCTGCCAACGACTACCCCCCCCTCTCGCTCCAAGGGGCCCCCAAGAGGCCCCCAAGAGGCCCCAGGTGAGCCCAATACGCCGCCAAGGAGCCCCAAGACGCTCCCAAAAAAAACCCAATAAGCCCCCAAGACGGCCCAGGAGACCCCAAATAACGCTCCAGGGCCGGCGGAATAAGCGAACCGATTAAATAAATTCTCCCTATCGCACCCCGAGGCCAATTTTTACGGCGGGCCAGGCGCTTCGCCGGAGAATTCCTCACCATTTACGACTCTGAAGATAAAAAATGGGCAACGGTTTCACAGATGGAAGGCGGGCCGTTTGAAACATTCGTCTTAGCGGGGCGCACATTCTTTTTAACAGTTGCAAGAGTTTCGCGGATTGAGGGCGGGTGGTGGTTTTTCGTAATGTGGTTCTCGCCTTACCGCGGCGCACAGTCGTTTGAAAAGTTGCCAAAGCTTCACGGATTGAGGGCGGGTGGTTCTCAAAATGTAGCTTTTGTCTTACTGCAGCGCACATTCTCAACCTTATCCCGGCAAAGCAACCTAACAGCGATGTGTAGGAGCATATCTGGAAGCATTCCCCTTAAGATTCAGATAAGAATCCTGTTGTAGAATTCTGCTGTTCTCGCAGTCGTGGTCGCATTCGCGATGGCAGTCGCAGTGGCAACAGCAGTCGCAGTCACAGCCTCAGCCTCAGCCTGCCTCAGCCTCAGCCTCAGCCTGCCTCAGCCTCAGCCTGCCTCAGCCTCGCCCTCAGCCTGCTTCAGCCTCAACATCAGTCTGCCTTCAGCCTCGCCTCAGCCTGCCTCAGCCTCAGCCTCAGCCTGCCTCAGCCTCAGCCTGCCTCAGCCTCGCCCCCAGCCTGCTTCAGCCTCAACATCAGTCTGCCTTCAGCCTCGGCCTCAGCCTGCCGCAGCCTCACCCTCAGCCTGCATCAGCCTCAGCCTGCCTCAGCCTCGCCCTCAGCCTGCTTCAGCCTCAACATCAGTCTGCCTTCAGCCTCGGCCTCAGCCTGCCTCAGCCTCACCCTGCATCAGCCTCAGCCTCAGCCTCAGCCTGCCTCAGCATCAGCCTGCCTCAGCCTCAGCCTCAGCCTGCCTCAGCCTCAGCCTCAGCCTGCTTCAGCCTCAGCCTCAGTCTGCCTTCAGCCTCGGCCTCAGCCTCAGCCTGCCTCAGCCTCAGCCTGCATCAGCCTCAGCCTCAGCCTCAGCCTACAGTTGGCTCCGGGCATTCAAAATCATGCCCAGGAATGGAGTTCTGGGAACTCGAAGACCACGAAGTGGCCTACAGTTGGCTCCGGGCATTCAAAATGTGGCCCGGGAATGGAGTTCTGGGAAGTCGAAGAGCACGAAGTGGCCTACAGTTGGCTCCGGGCATTCAGAATGTGGCCCGGGAATGGAGTTCTGGGAGGTCGAAGAGCACGAAGTGTGTGACTGTTTGCGAAAAACGAGGTTCCGCGGACCCCCCCGGAAATCCCCAACGGCCCCCCAACGGCCCCCCAACGGCTCCCCAACGGCTGCCCAGACCCCCCTGTGGAGTAATGTGCTGCTCTCTTTTGACCCTATTAGAAACCTATCAGTCTTCGCTGTTAGGTAAAAAACTTAGATGAGTTTCGCGGATTCCCATCATCAACGTGTCAATAATGGCATTTTGAAAGGATTCAGGATTATGCGGGTGCAACAATTATGTTGATTCGTTGTGTTGAAGTCCCAGGAACGGCGTTCTGGGACGATTCAGGATTGTCGAGAGTCGAGAGGCAACAGTCTGGTTGATCCGTGGGGTCTTCAAACGGTTGTCTTCCAAGGAGGCACGTTCCTTCAATGGAATTGAACCGTTGTAGGGGCATATGAGGAGGGAGCTTGGAGGGAGGGTTTATTCCAACATCGTTGATGACTCTTGGGTTCCTCCTCCTCCTCCTCCTCCTCCTGGCGCCCCCACCTGTCCCCTCAGGCAGTGCTAAGGTCGGGTCGAACGACAAGGAGGGTATTGACGGGGCTGGAGACTAGCGAATCATCTTGGGCAGCCGGTTTTCCAGCGCCCCCCAGCGCCGGGAGGCGCGCCACTGCATCGAGGAAGGCGTTCAGTGGCAGGGTCGAAACCAGCTGCATGCGGCAGATTTCGCATCCCCTCCCTTTCCCTACAGTCAACCCGTTGAGTAAGGATGAGCGATAAGGATGCAAGAGCCTTGGACGCCCTTTTCGAAGCTATTCGAGCGGGGCGCGGCCAACGGAAGTGGCCAAGGATGGACCGAGGAGGCAGGGATGCAAGGGTACCCTTGGGAAGGTTGCCCATCCTTACAATTCGGGCTGACTGTACCCTTGGGAAGGTCACGGCCGGCACCGGAGGAGTCGCGACCCCCTTATTGTGAAGGGGGCCGGAGCGGGGAGAAGCGCCGAGGACGGAAGAAGAGGTCTGGGGGTGCTTGATAGCCTGGGCCGCTCCCCCCCTCCGCCTCCATGAGTGGCAACTCTCCCTGAAGAGGAGGAGGGGGAGGCGGAGGGGGAGGGGGACGAGGAGGAGGAGGAGGAGGAGGAGGAGGAGGAGGAGGAGGAGGAGAAGGAGGCGGAGGAGGAGGAGGAGGAGGCCCGGCGGCGGCCTCAGGAGGCCCGTCAGCGTGGACTTGAGGTCGGCGGCGCCAAACGTCAGCGACCTTCGAGGCAAAGGAGGGGGGGATGGAGGGAGGGATGCGTGGCGGTATGCACAAACATCCGCAGCCGTGCCTCGGGCACAAGGTGAAGTGCCCAGAGGCTCACAGCTGTGCTGCTGACGCAGCCAAGACTGTGCTCAAATCTGTGCTGGCGCTGCTGCAGCCGGCATTGGAAAGGCCTCAGGGCCCGGACCACAATTTGCTTGGGGGCTCTTGGCAATCTCAGGGTGATTCGCATGACCTCTGGGACGGCTGCAACGCCCCAAACGACCCGCAGACTTTCGCTGAGCTCCCTACCAAGCGCACAAGACGGTCAAGAAGCGCCTCTAAAACGGCCCAAGATGGCCCCCAGACGGCCCAAGAGGCATCCAAGACGCCCCAAAAGACTTCCAAAAGGCCTGCCAAGAGAGCCCCATGAAGCAAAATCATAGCTCTTCCTATGGCTTTTGAAGTTTTTGGAGTACTCGAGTTTTCGGCTTCCCGACGCTCCACGTCGGCCCAAAAGGCTTCCAAGATCGCCACGAAACGGCCCAAGAGGCCTCCAAGAAGGCCCACAGACAACCCAAGAGGGCCCCAAGACACTCCAAAGAAGCAGCTCCCACAGGGGGCCCAAACAGGGTTCTCCAACGGACAGTTCTAGCCCGCGGCCCAAAGAAGCCCCCAGGATGCCCACAAGGAGGCCCCAAGAGGCCCACAAGAGGAGGTTACCAAGGGGCCCCAGGATGCCTCCAAGAGGCCTGCCAAGAGGGCCCTGAAAGGCAATCATGCCAACGAACCAGCTAGAGGCCTGTGACCCACACGTACGTGTGTAAGTAAATGCATACATACAGACATGCACGCATACATGCGATACATAATACTATAATACAACACAAAACAAAGCAACACAGCACAGCACATTACAATACAAAACAATGCAATGAAATTCAATCCAAAACAATACCATACAATGCACTTGAATACACTGAAAAGAAATACTCCATGATGCCATACATGTTAGTAGAGTACGACAACAAAGAACACAATACAATGCAATACCAAGCACTATATATGGTCCAGGGCTTGCCCCCCCCCTCCTCCCCCCCAATGCTGATGCCATTGGGGCCCCCCACCCACCCCCGCGCGATGGTCCCCCCCGCCCCCCCCTGTGGGCGTGGCGTGGTGCTGCGCTGCGGTGCCCCCCCCCCTGTGGATGTGGTGTGGTGCTGTGGTGGTTCAGAGGTGGGCGTGGCGTGGTGCTGCGCTGCGGTGCCCCCCTCCCCCCCCCTGTGGATGTGGTGTGGTGCTGTGGTGGTTCAGAGTCGTCGTCGTCGTCGTCGTCGTCGTCGTCGTCGTCCTCGTCGTCCTCGTCGTCCTCGTCGTCCTCGTCGTCGTCGTCGTCGTCATCGTCGTCGTCGTCGTGATCGTCGTCGTCGTCATCGTCGTCGTCATCGTCGTCGTCGCCGCCGCCGCCGCGGGCGTCGTCGCCGCCGCAGCCGTCGTCGTCGTCGTGGTCGTCGTCGTCGTGGTCGCCGTCGTCGTAGTTGTCGCCGTCGTCGTCGTCGTCGTCATCGTCGTCGTCGTCTCTGGGACCATACCATCTTGGGGAGGGGGGGCCCGAGGAATCCTGGGACCATACCATCTGGGGGGGGAGGGGGGGGGGGGCGTGGGCCCGGAGCCCGGGATCATATATAGCTACATACATACATATATACACACACACCTGCATACATCCATACACACATACACATATATACATACAGACAGACAGACACGCATACCTAAATACATGTATGCGCACATGCACACACGCAGGCATGAATATCTATATATATATATATATATATATACATACATAAATACACAGCCACACATGCACGCATGCATACACATGTACATACATATATTCAAACGTGCATGCATACACACGTACACGAACGCACACACACACACACACATGCATACGTACATACATACGTGCATACATACACACATACATGCATACATGCATGCATGCATGCATACATACATAGACACTAATACATGCATACATGCATACATCGACACAACATACATACATACATACCAGCATACATGTGTACATACGTATGCACATACGTGCGTACACACATACAGAGATGCATGCGTCCATACACGCAGACATGCATGAACACATACATAAGTCCACACGGGCATACATACTTGTATGCATACATATGTATACACATGCGTGCATCCATACGTTGGTGGATGTGTGTATGTACGTACGTGCGTACAATCGTACGTATGAATGTGTGGGTGGATGGCGCGATGTGTACGTATGTCGGTTTGTGTATGCAGGCATGCATGTATGTAACTATGTGTTTATGACTGTAAATCTGGATATATGCATGTATGCATGCATGTGTGTTTGATTACATATGTGTATGTATGTCTGAACGCATGTATGTATGGATGTGTATGTGTATGGATGCATCTATGTTTGTATGGATGGATGTGTATGTGTGTATGGATGTGTACATACGTATGTATGTAGGCATGTCTGTATGTATGTATGTATGTATTATGTATGAATGTATGTGTGTGCGTATGTATGTGTATATGTATGTATGTATATTGATTTGTATACATGTATGTGTATGTATGTGTGTATGTGGGTACGTGTGTACGTATGTGTGTATGCGTGTAAGTTAGTATGTGTGCATGTGCATGCTTGCATGTCTAGCCGCCTTCATGCCCCGATGTACAAGTTGGAATGTCCGCAGGTATCTTGGAGTCCTCCGTCCCGTCCTGAGTGAATGCATGTTAAGGGCCCTGGGCCCACACCCTGGATCTACCGGAGTGTCTCGAATGTCCCCGCGTATGATCCAGTGACTTTTTTCGGAATCAAGAAGGCCCCAAGACGGGCCAAGAGGACACCAAGGTGGCCCCAAGACAAATTCAAGAGGGCCCCGAGTCGCCGAAAGATCGCTACAAGACGCCCAAGATTGCATCCAGACGGGCCAAGACGCCTCCAAGATGCCCTAAGAGGGCTCCAAGAGCACTCCAAAAAGGGACCGAGACGACACATGGATTGTCCTGTGGTGTTTGAAAGATTTTAGCAGTCTCGACATTTCGGGCTCTCGACGCTCCAAGACGGTCTCAAGAAGCCCCCAAGATCGCCCCAAGAAGGCCCAAAGGGCCCCCAAGAGGACCCCCAGACTGACCAAGAGGGCCCCAAGACGGCCCAAGACAGCCGAGAAGGCCCCAAGGCGGCCCCGAAAGAGGCCCAAGAGGGTGAACACGAACCCAAATTCCGAGACCTCCGACCCAAGACGCACTCCGAGACCGCCAGCAAGCACTCACGAAGCTCCCCCAGAAGCCTCACGAGGCTCCCGGGAGGCCCCAGTCATGCCCCGGAGAGGCCCCCAGGAGGCGCCGACAACGCTCCAGAACCGCCTCCGAGAAGCTTCCGAAGAGGCCACCCAGGATGTCCCCACGGGAATCCGGGAGGCCGGTGACCTACAACCAGGGAACGGTGGCGGAAGCGGCCGATCGATCCGCCGCCCCCCCTGTGCTTGCCACAGGGTTGCACGGCGTGCCAGAGGTCTGGAAGACTGCGATTTTCTCAAGAACGCCCATCGCGGCCTACAGTCAAAAGCCGTAGTGAGGACGTGCTGCATGGACGCAAGACCCTCGGACGGTCCTTGGACGCCCCGGTTGAAACCTTTCAAGCGGCGCAGTGCCGAACAAATCTAAGGGCGCAGGGGTGCCCTTGGGAAGGTTACCAGTCCTTACCATTGATTTTCACGGTAGACCCGAGCCGCCAGCCACCCAGAAAGCGCGTAGATTCCCACTAAACCTTTCTAAGACGGCCCAGATGGCCTCAAAGACCGCCAATATGGCCTCCAAGATGCCTCCGAGACGACCAAGATGGCCCCAAGGGAACCCCAGGTCTCAAGATGCCTCCAAGGCTGCCAAGATAGTCCAAGAGAGCCCAAGAGGGCCCAAGAAGCGTCCATGAGGCCCCCAACACTCCTGGAAGGCCCGAAGAGGCCAAACTCATTTCCCTTTGGTTTTTGAAGGACTTGGGCATTTACTTCTGTTCGACCTTCCGCCGGCCCAAGATGGCCCAAGAGGCCCCCAAGATCGCCCAAGAGACCTCCGGGTTGGCAGCTCCCAAGACGCCCAAGATGGCCTCCAAGGCGACCCAGAAGCGACCCAAGAGGGCCACAAGACGGCACAGAGAGGGTACAAAAACAGCTTCCGACGGCATCGGACAGGCCAGGAACGCTGCAAAACAACCAAAGAGGCCCCCAATAAGCCCCCAAAGAGGCCTCCAAGATGCCCCCAAGAAGCTCCCAGGAGGCCCCAAAAATTACCAAAGAGGCTCTCACCAAAGGGCTCTTCATTATTCTCCTCCTCCTCCTCCTCCTCCTCCTCCTCCTCCTCCTCCTCCTCCTCCTCCTCCTCATCGTCCTCATCCTCCTCGTCCTTCTCCTCCTGACCCCCCCCTCCCTCTCCTCATCCAATTCTTACTCCCCCACGTGTCCGCCGAAGGGTTTCCATAACGGTTGGGGGAACGCATGGTCCAATAACGTTGCCAAACTCTGTCCACACGTTTGGCCATTCAGGCGCAGCCTAAAAGGCAGGGGGCGGCGGTGATTTGCCGTAGGCGTCTTCGACCCGCGGCCCCCTGTGTTTATCGCAGGGGTGCTTGGCGTGGTAGATTGCTTGCTCACCGGTCGGTCTTCAGAAGTGGGCAGAAGCCTAAAGTAGGGAGGCGTTGAAAGCAGATTGGACTGCCGCCCGCGCCCCCAGTAGAGGAGGAAGGGGGACAACCGCTCGACTCTTGAACTACGAAGGCGCCTAAAATAAGAGGGAGCGCCGCCGGATAACCCCAAGGGGGGGGGGGGGGGGGGGGGGGGGGGGGGGGACACCCCCCCTTCCCCGACCCGTCGTCGGGGACACCCACCCCCCCTCTCCCCTCTTCCCCCCGGTCCGCCGTCGGGGACCCCCCCACACTCCTCTCCCTTCCCGGTCCG